CCAAAAGGCACACATGACCTTTCAAAACACAGCAAACTGCCAACAGACATTGTGTGCTTTTGACTAGCCTTCATTTTCTGCTCTCTAAATCCTCCCAACTCTTTCATTTTGGCAACGACAGGCTTCCCCCCTTAAACTAATAAGTCAACTAGCATCCTTCCCCCAGCCCACGTCTTTCCAGTCGACACAGGAAGGTAAACATGTCCACTCTGGTGAGGGCAAACCACACAAAACGCTTCGCTCCAGGTAGCGGTTGTCCTCCACAGCACTGTGGCCACTAGCCTCAGCTAAGCAATCGCTACCTGTGCAAGGTTGCCTGTGTCGAAACACATTTCTGCTTTGTTGCCAAACACACTGTCCTCCAGCAAGGACATCCACATTGGATTGGGAGGTGGATTCAAAACAGGGTCAACTGTCTGATCTCTACCTACAGTAACTGGCTATATTCATCATATTGTTAAGGAGGGTTATGGATTTTTCACTAGAGTTAATACTTAATTGTAGCGCTGTGAATTTTGTTTTGCAAATTCAGGTAATTTATATAAGCTTTAAAAGCAGGTTTTTAACACAGGTATTTGTTGGGGGCGAGGTTAAAAAAGGCCACAGTAAGAATTGTGAAATGAAGAAACAAAAGACACACTTTTGAAAACACATTAACAATTAACAGTCAACAGAATTTGTGCAGTAATTTTGGAGTATAATACTGCTTCGACGGTGAGACCAAAGAATTGCATCTCCAACAATTCTGCAGTGTTTGTCAATATCACCAAATAAATTACCAATATCTGGAGGTTGAGGTGTTAACCTAAATGATATAAAGAGAGTGTGTGTGTGTGTGTGTGTGTCTGTGTGTGTGTGTGTGTGTGTGTGTGTGTGTGTGTGTGTGTTTTAAGATGCACTTAGGGCTGTAGCGCCGAACTGTACATTGGTTGTCTGAAATGTCTCCTGATCCCGTGAGGTGATATCCATTACACATTGATGTCAGGATCCAATGTCACGGGCATCCAATGTTGGTTTTCGGCCTTGCCACATACACGCAGTGGTTTCTCCAGATTTTCTAGGCCTTTTGCTATTATGGACGATACCTATAGTTAACTGCAATAATAGACTGTATTACATTAGTCAACGTCAATGTTTACTTTGCCTTGTGTGAGAGATGCTTGTTAACAACTCAGTGTTCACATGCTGAATAAACAAAGACATGCTGCTTTAAATTATCCCACAATCTGGACATTCTCTGTCAAGATGGCGCCCGAGTAGGCAGCCGTCAGCAAGTGCTCTCATGAGCCTTGCTTTTTTTGTTGTTTTTGTGTTTGTTTTGTCACTTTGTGTTTGTTGTTACGTCGTGTGGACCTGATGTGGACTTTTTTCAGCATTTTTTGGCCACGACATTCATCAAGGAGGAGACTCTGTGCTTGGTGGTTGCGCCTTCTCGGCTGCATGGGTATACCAGCACTGTTTTTGACTGGTAGGAATGTCGGCGCCAGTTGCTGGACAGTCCCGGGGCGCTTGTGTCTTGTGCCTGTAATGGGCAGCATTTTTCACAGCCCCGCTTTGTTCAGCGGGGAGATCGGTGTTGTTGAACGGTCTGCGGCTGGATGGATGCATGGCTTTGGGGGGCGACGATGAGAAGAAAGGAGCGTTAGCGCAGAGCGCCAATGCGGATGTGGAACCGGGAGTCGCGGCTTGGAATTGAAGCGGATTACATGGAACAGGAGGAGTGAACTAATCTCTTTTTGTCAATGGACGCTACAGCTTCGTGTTTGCTTTCAAAACTTAGCTTGTAGCAGACGTGCACATTTTCAGCATGACGTCTCTGATCCACTGGTAAAAGGACACTTTGATCCTCTCCTCTTTCGTCTATAACTGCTTCAGACAACAAAGTGTATGCAGAAAAGTGGTGAAGATTGCACGACTGTCTTGTGTCCTATGTGTTGTGTTGTGTTATTTTTGTTATTTTGACTTCAAAATGGCGCCGCGAGAGTGGCTGCCTTTCCAGCAGCTCCTATATTTTGTTGTTCTACTTCTTCCTTTCATAACTTTGCTGCTGTGTATTGGGAATTTCTCCATTGCGAGACTAATAAAGGTTTTCTTATCTTATCTTATCTTATCTTTTACAAATGATTTATTGGCTCTCAGCCCTCACATCAATTCATTTCTAAACCGTGTGTTGTGTGTCCGCAACAAGTGTCTACATAACTCGGGTGAAAGGTAGCCTCGAGGCAGATATTTTGCTTGGGCCTCTTTTGTTGTCAAATTATTGGAGTTGCAGTAGTAATTCTTCAAGGCCCACTACAAAGGCTGTCGTAAAATCGACTGAGCCAAAATAACTTAATTTCTAATGAATCTAAAATGCTTATGCGTGAAATTAATTGACAAAAACATTTTCGGTATAATTAAAATTGGTTTTAATTAGTTTTATAGACAGAAAATGTAATTGCAATTAGTTGTTTAAAAAACTTTGGTTTTTATTTTGTTAAAAATGTGGATTCCCTCACACAGCCCCCTCCCAATTTGAATGTTATTTGTTCATTTCCCTCAACAATAATAACCTTGGTATTAAATGCTTGCAGGTAATCAAACTGCTATTCACAGAGAGAAAGTTTGTGGAGGCTTTAACTGATGAATAACTACTATTCTTGGTACAGATGCAAAATTAGGCCCTGAAAAAAAATAGTCCACTGTAATCACAACTAAATTAAACTCTCTCTCGGATTTTCTGGCATCGGTGGATTTGGGGACAATGTTTCAACTGCAATGTAAAGCAGAAATCTGCTTCGTGCCAAAAAAATGAGAAGAAGTGATTGTCAAGAGTCTACAATTGTCTCATAAAACATCAGGGGTGTCTTGCGTCAATGAAAGGACATACCATATATGCAGATGTGAAGATGTAGAATAAATAAATCTGCAGTTTAATTATTCCGCAGCAGCAATTATACAGTATTACATGTGATGAAGAGATGTGTCGCGTGGGAAATTAACTGACCCCAGACAGAAATGACACAGACAAAACTAATTGCATGATAACTGTCACTATTAATATTCAGGTCATACATTTTTGGTATAACCTTCAGCAAAGTCCAATATTTCAGCTGCATTATTCAGTTCTCTATGCTGCGTAGGTGGACAGGGTGTAGGCTGATTGTTATTACTTTCCACTATGCGAGCCGAAGCTCATCCATAATTTCCAAGTGTTAAACCTACGTATGCCATAGCTGACAAATATAGCGCTACAATGCAAAAAAAAAAAAAAAAAAAAAAAAAAAAAAAAAAAAGACAGGATTGTGCGTTCAACTATTTACTTAGTTAAAAAATATCAAAATATTATATCTAGCACCTTGATGACAACCATGTGTTTACATCACCCAGAGGTTTAATATCACCCAACTTGTTATTCAAAAGTTTCCCACCAAAACCTGGTGAATGTACTGTACAGCAAATGACAGCTTGTTGGAAAAACAACAGAGCCAACAACAGAGTTGTGTGCAAGGATGAGGCTAGAAACTTTCCTTGAAATATACAGCGAGACAAAACTAATACTTTGAGGAACAGCCATCCATCTCTAAATTATGAAATGATGATTAGCCCTCATAGCCTGCCTGGTGAACATGAGGGACAGTGAGAACCAGGGGCCTAATTTATCTAGAGTGTGGAGAACAGGTCCTCAATTCATTCATGCAACTGAAATTTAGAGTGTGTATGAGCACCCAAAAAAATCTCCAAGCCTGACACTGATGTAAGTTGGCTGAGATGTGGAAACAAATAAATGTTCTTCAGAACAATTAATGCAAGTGTTACCAACTTTAAAAAAAAAAAAAAGGTATGAAATTAATTCATGAACATCCACCCTAAATAAATAAATAAATAAACAAACACCCACGTGTCATGGCTACAGACGAGAATTATCTATGACTAACAAGGGGACAACTGCATACGTGCAGCCAGCACGCCTGTTTAGCTTCTTATTGGAAGCGCACACCCATCGGGCTTTTATGTAGGATGAATGAATGAATCGCGCGGTAATTCCTCGAGGCCATGTCCAGCACAGATCATTTGTGCATTCACTGAATTCAATCATTTCCTGTTCACGGAGTGGAAATTTGTTGTGCGATCACGCATTCAATCTATGTCTACATTTCATTTCGGCTTGTTGGTGATTTCTTTAAAGCCTTTCCATCTGTAGTTTCACTGTTCCACCATGAGGTTTTGTGTGTACGTATGGTCAGAGCTGTGAACTAACGTCCGTTCTCACGCGCAAGTCCAAATTGATGACATCCTATATTTGTCGTGGAATGTTCGTACGCACTATTTACACACAGTTGTGTGCGGACGCACGCTTGCTAAATGAGGCCCCCGGTCTCCAGCTCTGAGAGACGTAGGGACAGAGGGCAGTGTGAGACTAATGATTGCAGCTATTTGCCATACGTTTAGCATCAATTTACCCCAACGTACAAGCTGATCATGACCAAAAGAGCCAAAGCCTCGAGCATCATGTCGCCAAAGACAGGACAAGTGTCAAAGAGTGAGAACCAGGCTAAGGGCGTATGAGAGAGAGAGAGAGAGAGAGAGAGAGAGAGAGAGAGCGTCTGACAGAGAGAAAGAGAAAGAGTGACAGACAGGGGAAGAGAGAGAGAGAGAGAGAGAGAGAGAGAGAGAGAGAGAGAGAGAGAGAGAGAGAGAGAGAGAGAGAGAGAGATCGGGTTAAGAAGCCTCCAGACACCACGCAGTTCAGAGCAGATCAGGAGTGGCGGCTTGCTGATTAGTCAGCTCACAGCCCCTTAAGACTGGACTCCACACACACACATACACACGGCATGAAATTAATTTTACACAAATCCGACTTTAGCCAGTTTCGCCCATGCAAAACATATGGACACACAAACAATATGTGCAAACAACAAGTCGTATCGCACCACATTTGAAGAATGTCTTCTGGATGTGTGAGGAATGTGTGTTAAAAGATCATGTGTCAATACTTGTAATGATGATTACTTAATTACCTTGAGTAGATAGATTGGGATGTTGCTGAAGTCCACAGGGAGTTTCAGAAGAAAGCGGGCTGAGAATTCCCCTGTCTGTAACACACGAAGTGGAGAATTTTACAATGTGATGCAAAGAGATACAGTAATATAGCAAGCTAATTCAGTTTTTTACTCATCAGTCCACAGAATGTTTTCCAAAAGTCTTGAGGATCATCAAATGTGAGACGAGCCTTTGTGTTCTTTTTGGACAGCAGTGGTTTTGGCCTGGAAACATTCCCATGGATGCCATTTGTCAGTGTCTTTCTTATGGTAGCATCGTGAACATTGACCTGAACTGAGGCCAGCGAGGTCTGGAGTTCTTTGTGTGTCGTTCTAGGTTCTTTTGCAACCTCTTGGATGAGTCGCCGCACTCTTAGAGTAATTTTAGCTGGTTGACCACTCCTGGGAATGTTTACCACTGTTCCCAGTTTGATCCATTTGTGGATAATGGCACTGACAGTGGTTTGCTGAAGCCCCAGATTCTTGGAAATGGCTTTGTAACCTCTTCCAGACTGATACATTTCAATAACTTTTTTCCAATTTCTTCTTGAATTTCTTCAGATCGTGGCATCATGCGTTTGTTTCTTGAGATCTTGTAACCTACTTCACTTTGTCTGACATATTCTATTTATGTGATTTCTTGATTCAAAAAAATGTGGTGCGAGTGTGTTGCCTGTGAAATTGAAATCAGCTTTCCCAAAACTGCCCTTAGTCACAGTTATTTTGTGGTTTAACAAGAGGGTGGGTGGTGGGGGGGGGGGAATTACTTTTTCACATTGGGACAGGTCATTTTGGATTTCTTTTGTGCTTTAATAAATTAGATTGCCATTTAGAAACTGCATTTTGTATTTCCCTGGGTAGTCTTAAAATTGGTTTGATGAACTCAAACCTTTGTATGTGATAAATATGTAAAGAACCAGAAATCAGAACGGGGCAAGTACTATTTTACAGCACTGTAATTAGATTCCAAAGGAAATACAGTTTTACATTTGCTGTCATGGTGACTTTTCACCTCCATCCATAATAATTTCACTAGTCATGGGGGGGGACTGTTAAACCTACTGTGACTGTGGCAAATGTCACGGAGTGGAAATTTGTTGTGCGATAACAAATACTAAGTGTGTTTGCGCTTTGATGTGCTGTGTAAAATGTCCTTACCCAGCTGTTCTTGTGCCCGGCATATATCTCCATATTACGGCCATAGTTCGGATCCTCCAGCAGGCTATCATACTCAAAAAGAAGTCTGGAGCTTTCACGGAGGCGCTGACATTGATAGTGGTGGTATTGCTGGATGAGCTCCTTCACAAGCTGGAGCAAGCTATCTGGGTTGCCAGCATCCCATTGGACCAAATGCTGTGGAAGAAAATTCAAAACTGAAACCTGCTCAATCTTCTGAATCTGATGAGAGTCTTTGTTCTCTCATTTCAATTACAGGCATAAGCTATTTTCAATAGAGATATGATACTTCGAAACAAGAGTCATGCGAAAAAAAGGTGTTCTATCCTATTCTTTGGTTATTTTTTTTTAGCATTGAAAACAGGTTTCAAGTTGTCTTTTTGAAATAAAAATAATTGCACCTTTTTTCTATTCTATACTGTTTGTTCAGACACACAATGGAAACATACAATGTACAGTGGATATACCGAGAACAGAATTAAATACAGCACTTACACTTTTGCTCCCATTTTTCATGAGCTGAATTGAAAAAGCTAAGTCTTTTTTTTCATGCAGAAAAGGCCCATTAACTCAAGCTCAAACACTATGGCACACCTGTAAATCAATGCAAATACTTCTTAGATGCTTTTGAAAATACTCCAACCTTTTCAAGAACTGTGTTGTCCCCCTGAAACAGGCCAATAGTGGCAATGTTTAGCAAACACATGAAGGAGTACTTAGAGTAGTAATAATTAACAACTACCACTCGACCATTTAGGGCAAACAGCAATACCAAGCTAAATGTGAAACTTGTATGCAGCACTGTTTCACCCAGTCTTACCGTAGGGAATAAAGAAGATACAGGTTAAAACCCAATAATGACTACATCAGAACAGAAAGACTTCTGGTCATTTCTAAAAGGAAAGCAAGCTTCATCAGTGAATGGATAAAAACATATTACAAAAAGGTGTCGATGACAGCATTGACCTAGGTTAGCTTGTCTCAACAACTGACTATCTATCTCTTTTTGTCTGCCTCGTGTCCCATATTAGACCAATAGAGAAAGCATCCATTGTTGTGAGGTGACTTAACTCCCTTGCAATGGCAAGGGCAGGCTAAACAGAGACAGTGACTTCATCGTCCTGATCCACCAGTGGTTACCAGCAATGCTGGGATTCCCGAAATGAGGAGGTGATGCAAACAAGGATGGGCATTGTCCAAAACAGGCGTTCAGTGCCCCGGGGCAGGAGCATGCAGAAACGGAGGAGAGACTAAGGAAGTGCTGTGTCAGGATTGTGACACACAATATCAGTGGATCTACACTGAGGAGGAGAAGCGGGATCAGAGGTGGAGGAGGAAAGGGGTGGGGCTGGGGGGAAAGTACTGAAGAGATCAGGCAAGTAGGCCAAAGCCAATGAAATGGTAGGCTTGATCCTATAACAAAACTTTTAATATTGACAAAGATCATAACTACAAACTAAAATTTATGGCCAAGAAACCTGGAGACCAACATCACCATCTAAATAACAGAATGGCATCTGAGGCAGGAGCTATATTATTTTCCAAGTATTGTTTGAAACTGTCTACGGCCCGTTAATAATTACAGGTAAAGCGTCCTTATGCAGAATTTAAGCACAATTGCAGATGCAGAGGATCTGAGCTTGTAAAACTCAGCTGTTAGTGCAAAAGAACTGCAGTCACTCCAGAAAATATCAATGCTGAACGGAAACATCAACATGCTAGCATGCTGGTATATGTTTAGCAAGTCAAATGTCTTTTTGCGGGGATTTTAACAAAATTATTTCAAAACATATTGGTGTGTTGCTGTCTTGAGTTGACCAAATTATGCAATACAGAAAAAGCAATTAAAATAATTTTCTTACAATCTTGTTTCCATCCCGCTTTTTCTGGTATATCAGTCTGGGAACAGGGTCGACAATGTCCTGCCCATGGGAATCAGCCAGAACACTGATGGTCACACTGATGCTAGATGAGAGGAGCTACTCAAAATCGTAAGGCATGTTCACCCTGCCTACCCTTTCCCGTATTTTTTGTGTGTGAAAGATACCAGCATAGAAGGATCAAGGCTCTCTGTCCAACAAATCCGATAAAACCCAGAATCGTTTTAAGATCCAATATGTTGCACAGCAAAACGTGCAACAGTCGTATTTGGCAGCTTAAATGTCATTTATGAAAGCATGTGGATTGGATAAAATGTACACAGTTTATATTACTTTATCCCATGGGGGGATATCACACAGTCCTCATTGGCTTGAGATAATTTTATAATCCATTTATCAAAGCACACGTGTTAAATTACTGCATCGAGCTATGATAAAATCTACACCCCCCCACCCCATGTTTCCTTTTAAAATAATTCAAATTGATTCAGTATTAGCTTTATTACACTTGATACAGTATTAGCTTTTAAATTGTTTTTATAAATGTATCAGATTAGTATAAAGACTTGACACTGAGGGTGTTCATACATGTAGTCATAGGTCATTATTTTATTTTGCGGCGGGGAAAAAAAAGCACAACGTGATGAAGATCTCTGATAGTTCAATGAATATGACTACAGGCAAAGTTTGCAAAAGTAAATTTCCAAGCCGAAAGTGTGCAAAAATGATTTGGCTTTGGATGTGTTAAGGAACACAGCGTATCCCTTTCAGAACAACAGTGCACCTAAATTTGGTGTTTTCACACTTAATAGACCCAAATTGACAGAATTATGTCTTCGTGTGCCATCCGCCTGTACCATCTCTGATCCAATATTTATCTTAGGCCAGTAAGAGAGGGGCTGGCATCTGAAAATCCAAGATAATTATATAGGCCAACAGAAATGATTTGTTTGTAATGTCTTGAATGTGATTTTTATAGATGCTGGCAACCTGATCCAATAAATCGCTGTTGACTTGAAAGTGCGAGGCATTAAACAACTCCCAAGTATTAAATTAATCTCTGTTAGTCTCTAATTCAAGAGTGGGCTCACACCCTGTTTCGCCCCCAGAGATTGCCAAGTCTAAGATCATCCTAAATTGGTCTTGTCATGTGTTTAAGACACTTGGCATTCTCAAGCCAGTGTTTCTTCAGTGCGATCCATGCGGTTTTTGTCCAACACGGTTCAAGTTGTTGACAGAAATAGCATGCATTCTTCAACTGCTTTGCCACTTCAGCCAATTATTCACAATTCCATGGACGATTGTCCTATGTTTGTTCTTTCCATCAAGCTCCCCCATATGCAAACAATACCCCACTCGCTCAAAGCATTCCCAGGCATGTTACTGAGGTCTGCCAATAATAAGCCCCTTTAAAATGTGGAACGCATTACTGGCTTCAGCAAAAAGGAAGTGTTAGTTTGTACACGATGCCCAGGTTGTCCCGACTTTACAGGCAATTTGAGGTCCATTGTTAGAATCGGACCAGGGGACAAACTGCAGCAACAGCTCGGAAGTGCTCACCGATATATGGCATTCAAGATTAGCAGAGGGTAGCGTGCAGTCACGTTTCCTTTCTCTTCATAAAAGAATACTTGGATTAGCTTCACATTGCACACTTTATATTGTTCTTTCGGGAGCGACGAACATTGTCTTCAACTACACAAACACAAGAGAAGACGTGCTCTCAAATGCAAGAAGAGACACTTGGAGCAAATCAGGACACATTCGACTTTAAGAAACGTGGCTGAAAAAAAAGAACAATGCACTTTTTATTTCTTTTTCTTGTCGGCAGGGTTACTGTGAACTACAATAACCCCGTTCATTGTGAGGAAGTATCATTGCCATATTGTGGGAAAGCATATACATCACAGAGAAACAGAATATACATAAAACACAAAACGTTTGTATTTTTTGTGCCTTTGAGTCATGTATGATCATATATCATTTAGAAAAAAAATACTACTAACAATAATATATACTCATTTTCTCCAAGGCCTGGAAACTGGGACCCATTCAAAAACATGACACTGATCTCACATCGGGTCAATCCTAAATAAAATTCATTTGAATTCAAGAGAGCCAGAAAAGAAAGGTTCTATTTTTAGGGTCATATCAAAGTCTCGGTGTAAGGTGTAACGCTTGTTGTAATTCTTGGTCCTTGAGATATTTTGAAAAAAGCATGTCGAAGATGTTATCCAAAAAATACATATGAATGAATGAAGAAAAAAAACAGTCCAGGCCCTCTTAGCCAACAGTGACCATTTGAGCTAACAAATGTTCATGTTCAAGTTTTTTGTTCCTGTTCAGCCAGTTTACCCAAAACAGAAACTTTTGTTCCAGTACTTGGCATGGCCAAACAAAAAATGAACACTGAGCTGTTTATGTTGATGAAATTTCCAGTCTTAACGAGACAGAGCTTGTCTGTTCATCTCAAAGGACTCTGGGATCGCTAAGTGGAAACATGTTGATGCGGGTTCTGGGGAAGCCATTTGGGCTAACCCCAGGTTTTGGCCATATACATGCGACTGAAAAAAAATGCAAGGTTGTTGGGAAATTCCCCAAATCTTTAGTGTCAACATCCATTGCTGGCCAAGTCTAGACTTGGCAAATGACAAACGACTCCTCAAAAGACAGAGTGGTATGAGCATCGGACAAGTCAGGATAAAAAAATGTTGAGATAAGTGCAGCTGTTGCGTCTAAATAGAGTCTTATTCACACTGAAATAAAGATGACCCACGATAACCAAACCAATAATCTGCCAACATCTATGTTTCCCAACCACATTGTGGGCAAATACAAGCGCCAATTCCAGTGAAGTTGGAATGTTGTTTAAAGCGTAAATAAAATCAAGATACAATGTTTTGCAAATCCTTTTCAACTTCTATTCAATTCGACACACTACAAGGATAGGATATTTAAGGTTCAAACTTCTTTATGCTTATTTTTATGTGTAAATATTCCAGCGGCATGGTGGGAGCCTGGTTAGCACATCCGCTTCACAGTGCAGAGGTCCAGGGATCAACTGGTTGGCCACCAGTTCAGGATGTACCCTGCCTACTGCCCGAAGCCAGCTGGGAGAGCCTTCAGCACGTCTGCGACCTTTGCGAGGATAAACGGTTTGGATAATGGATGGATGGATGGATGGAAATATTCTCTTATTTGGAATTTGATGCCTGGAATGCATTCCAAAAAAGTTGGGACAGGACAGTGTTAGCAAAAGACTGGGAATGTTGAGGAATACTAAAAAAAACAGTAGAA